ATTAAGTTGGTATTAGTAATAAAAATTTTGGTATTATCGAAAACAAAGTTTCCACTTGTACACATACAGACTAGTGTATTTTGATATAGTGATCGGAATATTACATGTAAATTGCATCCCCAACATTTTTTATTAGAATATCGGGATAGGTTTGGATTGCTGTGTTTTTATACATATACAGTATTTGCACTTTGCATTTTTGTTACGTATCCAGAATCATTGCACAATTCTGCATAATAACTAACCACTTCCAGATTGCAACCTGATGCACTTTATAATACAGTTTATGTATACTGCACATACTGTATTGGAAATTTCTAATATTAAACACCCCTCGTTAATATCAACCAAAACTTTACCTCTTTGTTATCAACTCTCATATATATCAACACAATTGTCTAATCCAAATGGATGATATTAACGAGGGTCACCTGTATTTCGTGACCCAATGACCAAAATTGTGTGATTCTTATACCAATCGATTTCCCTCGATGAGAAGAATCGATTGTTATAAAAAATCGCTTGATTTGGCTTACAGGATCATGAAACATCCTTGTAAAAAGATAGTTAAAGAAATGCATTAAACTCAATAACGTGACACGGTCACAATGCCCCTGCCTGACCTGTGGAAGTTCGCATAGCTCTTCGAATGAATAACTTCACAAATTATTTTGTTTTGCCCACAGAAGTAAAACACCACGATCTGGAACAATTATAGCAACTAATGATGCTTGAAGTGATTCACCATACACAGATGCTTGATAGATTAATTCATGTTTACAGTAAACGTTTTCGACCTAATAATAAATAAATTAAAATAAATGTTTTACAAAATAACGCGAAACCAAATAATAAAATACAATTTACCTTTTTGGGTGCAATATATTCACCCTGAGCCAGTTTTAACACGATCAATAATTACAAGTCTACCTAATTCATCCCACATTCCAATATCACCAGTATGGCACCAACAATCCTTATCAATTACTTCCTTTGTTTTCTCTGGGTCTTTGTAATATTCTTTAAATACAGAATTACCTCTAACAAATATTTCACCTCGTGGATACGGTTTATTCTGTGATGTATAATTCATTTCAGGTACTTAACTTCACCACATACTTGTGGTGGACCTACATGGCCTGATATTATATCTCCATACAGCGACTATATTAAATAAGAATATGTTACTTTAATAAGCATAAAATAAGGTTTTGTCCGATCAGATCCAACTTATTTTGATACTGGTAAATTGGTCAAATTACGTATATACTGTATATATGTGCGTAATTTTATATGACAGGGTGAAACCCGTGCTGTGAATTAGTAAAATCCGCTACGTAGATCACATGAAAGTGAAATTCGCTTTTGTATAATAAAAAACACAACTAAACGCGGATTTCACCCTAATGTAATCTACGTAGCAGATTTTACTAATTTACAACGCAGGTTTCACTCAGTTCTATTATAATAGGACTGGGTGAAATCCGCGTTGTAAATTAGTAAAATCCGCTACGTAGATCACTTTAGGGTGAAGTCCGCGCTTAGTTGTGTTTTTTATTATGCAAAAGCGAATTTCATCCTCATGTGATCTACGTAGCAGATTTTACTGATTTCACCCTGTCGTATTATAATTATATGTGTATAACTAAATGAATTTAATTAATAGGCCAAATTAATTTGATCAGATTGGCAAAATCAAAGACTATTCGACAGATTACCAGTAAAATTTTACCAACCCTAAAGTAATATAGGAAGTAATACACACGAACCAGCATTTTCAGTTTGACCATATCCTTCATAAACATCAGCAGAAAAACAAATTCTTAAAAAATCCATCACATCAGGAGAAATCGGTGCAGAAACGGATAAAATTACTTGAATTCTACCACCTTGTTTTGATCGGATAGGGGCAAAACCTACTTTATCCCACATCCAGTGATCAACTTGACCTTTTGATATACCGACCTTCTTAGCATTATACGCAGTTGTAAAAGTCCATTGAGTCATGCTACCTTTTCCACTAATTGAAGCCAACACTTTATCATATATCCTATTAAGTAATCTTGGTACAGAAATAAATATAGTTGGTTTCAATTAAGCGATATCATCCAGTAATTTCAAAGAATCACCTTGATAAAACCCGATAGCAGCACCTACGTAAATCATAGTAGCTTCATTCGCTCTTTCAAATACATGAGCCAATGGTAAATACGAGATATGTACATCATCTTTGGTAATTTTTGTCATCTTTCTTTGGCCTCCAAGAAATAATAAACTACAAACTATTGACATAAAATTTTTGTGGGTCAGAACTACACCTTTGGGCATTCCAGTGGTACCACTAGTATAGCAAATAGTAGCAATATCATCAGATTTAGGGTTGATTTCCTCAGCCTGATGAATTGCCCCGTCATTTTCTACAGTTTCGTTATTGACAATTTGAACATTTAATTCATTAGCGTAATCTATAAGATCTTGATCAGCATCATCAGAGATGATAAGAGTTTTAAGAGTTGGTAAAGCCTCTTTCATATATAAGAGAGTTCGACCTTTATTGACAGTGGTTAATACAAATTCTATCCCAGTCTGATTAATAATAAATTCAATTGCTTCTGCACCCAATGTATCATAAAGTGGTACAGTCACAAAATTATATTGATTGCAAGCAAGTTCAGCAATAACCTAATTTATAACAATGAATAAAGATTAATTGTTAGGAAAAAAAGTGAAAAGTATCTATAAGGAAAAAAAAAAATATATATATATATATATAGTCAGACCTCTCTATAGTCACCTCCTCTATAGTCACATTTGCTTTTTTAAAACCAACTTATATAGCACTCATAAAATTTAACCTCTATATAAGCACAAACACTCTATAAGCGTGTGATTATAGAGGTTTGAATATATATATAAAATAAAAATAATAATTCACATATTCTGGAAAAGAACGCTTGAATTTTCAAGCCAAATTTGCATAGACCTGAACCAAAATTTGCAATGCGTTGCTGAACTTCAAAATATGTTTGCCAAACATAAGGTTGAGCGATACCATTAATGATAGGTCGACACCCCAAGAAATTACCGTCCCTTTTTATATGGTCGATTATAATAATTAATATAATTAATCAGAACGGTTAATTATTATCGAATTTTTAATGAATTATAAATCAAAGAATTAATTCAATTTTTTTATTCATACTTGATTCCTTAACCCCGTGCAAAAAAAAATTCATATAAAGTAGTTGCGCCGGGAGGAAAAGAAAGTAATTTATCAGGAGAAAGAGCGTTACGCCTTGGTTTTCCTTCACCAGGAATTTCTACCAAAAGATATCATACTTCAAAAATCGATCTTCATTAATTGCGATTTACGTAATACCGTATACAAAATAGGGAAATTATAGGCATCTCTCGCGGGAGATATATCTCCCAGAATCCTTTAAAGTCTATTTACGTTAGAATAGCATTA